AGGAAGACGGGAGACTCTGGCACCCAGCTGAAGACGAGAAGCATACTCACCGCCGGCACCACGCCCACGACCGTGTACCAGAAATAGGGCAAAATGGCGCCCAGTATGTACGAAAGAAGCATACCAAAGCTTGCAGATAGTTCAAAATAAGATCCTATGGTGCCCCTCACTTTTACTTCGGATATTTCTTCGAGGTACATGGAGATCACTACTATATTAATGCCGCCAGCCGTACCAATGAGTAATCGAGCTACGTACAGCATCCAGACCTAAAAGCAAAAAAAAATACATTAGTATAGGTGGCCTGAGAATCCGGATTCAAACTTCTGAATTGCCGGTGATTTTATCCGATATCTTTCTCAGTACGATACTGAGATACCTCCATTACGATACCTCCATTCAGCCTACTTTCCAAATAAATAGTAATATGCAGACGTTTGATTGACAGTAAATGTAGGGTAAAATGCGGCTGAAGCATGGCACTTGCCACAGTTGCCTCTTCACTTTCGAACTTCTTGTTTGACAATATGAGGAAGTGGGTGGTCGATTTACACGAATCTATTGAATTTGTGGTAACCAATACCCTAAAACGTTTTCGAACAGACTCCGCAGATTAGAATTTCGTAGACTTCATGGGGTATTTGAGAGTTCTCCGATAATAATGTCCGCAGAGGACTTCCTGAGCTTGACGGATCAGATGGTGGAGCCGAGGCGCCTAAGTACCTGCCTCTCTGAAACGTCTCGACTTTTGGGCGCTAGCGTCGTCGTTGTGGGAACATACGAAACGAGGAGCGATGCGAGAGGGCAACCAAACGTTGTCCATCCGCGTGTCCCAGCTGCCACATTGATTCCCAACTGGATCTCTGCAAATTGATTTCCGAGTAGGTCAATGCTCATTGATACCCGAGAAATTCAATGCGCATTGGTATCCGAGGAGATCTCTGCGCAATGATACTCGAGGAGATATCGACGCATTTTCGGAGCAATTGTACGACGACAGTTCAAGAAATTGCGCAGAAGTACAACAGTTGAACACGAAATATGGGGTGAATAAATAAATAAATAAATATAAAATAAATAAAATAAATAACTATATATAAAAATATAACTATATATAAAAATATAACTATATATAAAAATATAACTATATATAA